ATTGCTTTTAAACAGTATGCACGGTGAAAACAAGTCATTTTACAGGGGGGGGGGGGTGCAAACTTTTAGCAGTAGCAAAAAACCTACAAGTTTGAGCACCAGTTTTTTGTGATATTTTGTATGTATAGGGATTCGCTAAAGCAGAGACGGTGTTCCTTTAGCCTGTATATTTGCAGGTATTTTTTGAAAAGGTCCATTGCAGATTGGATGGTTATTTTGTAGAGTTGCAATCTTGTGCCATATATGTTCTCAACAAAATGTGTTTTCTTTTACCAGGTTGTGTAGTTTGGTATCTGATTTATTAAACGTATTGCTTGTAGACATTGACTTCATGAACTTGAAATTAGCTGTGGAGTGCTACCCTGAATATCGTGGGGTTTTTAAAGAGAATATTTCAACGGTTACACCGTTAGAAATCACGGACTTGTACGGAAATATTGGTTCCCGGCCAGATGTATAAATTTAAATTTCATTCGTGTTATTGCAATTCGTATCCGTCTAGGTGCATTTATATAGATTTTATTTCAGTGTTATGTAACACACTTTGTATTCTTAAAAGAAAGGACGTTCAAGATCAGTTAAAACTAAATTATTCATGATCAAATTGAAAAGGAAGAAGTATGCAACATAATATCTAATCACGTAGTTTAAACAAGAAGTAGAAACAATTGATCCTTACATTCTGCAGTATCAAAATACAAATGTTTAACTGTCAATTAAAAAGTAGCAATTAAACTTGTTTAAATTAATTCAAATTTATATAATTATAGATAAGCATTTAATGAATACGAATATAAATTAGATAAATAGAAGTTGAAAGATAAACAGCTAATAAATACCCAAATTATGCTCCATAGTTACACATTCCTCAGAGCAGCTATGGGAAAACATTACTTTTTAAAAATTCAAAGATATTTTGACGTTTTTGTCTAGAATTGTTTGCTAATAAAAAGTCTCGATTTGTTTTATAAATAAATTTCATTCGCATTTTTAAACCTATAAATTATGGCCAAATTTATCATAACTGCCCTATAATAAATCATTTAACAGTTTAACATTGTTTAAACATTATGTTATACATGTAACAGTAAAAGCGTATCCTGTTATTTATAACTTCCGGAGACGTTAGTCACTTAATTGTACTAGTAAACAGGAAGTATTAGACTGACATTAACGGATATTATAAAAATGGCGTATAGGATAGGAGTATATTTTATTCTTCTTTGGATTTTAATTCCTGCAGGTAGAGTATAATTTTTATCTTTTGTAATTTCAAAATATATTTTTTGAAAAGTTAAGGATTGATAATTTTTTCTTTTAAAATTTAGAAATTATATTACCTAAAGAAAGTGAAATAAGCAATCGTAGCTTCTCGGTCCTTTCCGTCGAACTTCGGATGAGAATACACAAAACGGATATGATATTTCTGTCTAACCTACTCTATGAAAAGCAAACATGTAAACAAATAGTAATTCAATACGGGTAGTTGTTGATTAAGTGTATTCCAATATAGCGAGTAAAGGTCCACAAAAATAAGTAAATAAGTAATAAGTAAAATAATAGACATAAAAGTAAACAGTACATTATTCATAAACTTATTGTTATGGTTGTGAAAATCGAAAATATTAAATAGCTACCTGTAAACATTTATTCGGATTTGTTTAAATTGTACACCATTGGACTTTTTTTCCTATACAGACTTTATTTTCCTTTAAATGTCGAATATATATATGTTCGTTATACATTACCAGAGATTACACTCCCTGTTTTTGTTTATTTAAAACCAATTGGTAGAACTATTTTCAATCCATAATTAGTGCGAGGTTAATATGAATAATAGCCGATGTGTTCCGACTGTAAAATAAGTTGTAAATGAATATTTGCATTGTGATACCCTGTATCATTATAGCATTACATTAAGGAAAATCCGCATTGTTCACGAGTATTAACTAGAATGGAATTGCTTACGTAATAACATAACCTTTCAATTGGATTTAATTAAAATACAAAGAGGTATATAGTAATGACTAAAAATAATTAATATTTTGCTCACATACAGTTTGATAGAACAAATCACAATCGGTGCTACCGCGTCATAACAATCAAACCTCCCAGTCAAGTAAAACTTTAAATGTTTTAGGCTTTTCAACCGCAGCAGAGCCCTTGTAGAATGGTACTATTCATGAAATGTGGTAAAAGAAGACCATCATGACTATAACACTGCAAATCAATGTCTTCAAATAAGATACAATTAGTGTTATTTAAAGATCATGCTCGAACGCGGATGCAATTAAAGATCAAATTAAAGGAGCTATTATGTGGGATTTACTTGACCTTTGAATACTCTTAAATTGTGCACAAAAGTTAATGGTATAGACCTACATTAAATTGTATAATTATCTCTGGAAAAAATCCATGTATGTCAAGATAAATGTCAGAAGAATCTTTTCAATATTTTGTACAATCCTATAAATATCACGCACAATTATTCCGTTCTTGCTTAACAATAGAAAAGGTTATATTTATTTTAGAGTGTAACATTATTTTAAGTATCTTTTGATACTTGAATTCTACACTGTATTCAAATGTTTAATTTAAACCTTTCTCGTTATGCATTTGAGTTCTGTTTGTGATACCATTTATAAAATACTTGCACTGCTATAATATTTTTTAAAAAGACCTCCATTTCTTAACATGATATAAAAACGTCATAACATAATTGCGGATAAACATTACCAGGCTAATAAATACGAGTACATATAAAAACACTCGAGACAATAAAGTTTACAATCGGAGAACATAAATGTTTTGATATAAAGTTGATTTTTAAACATTTAACAGCTGTTTCTGTCTTCCTTTATTTATTTTGATAATACTTTGTTCATTTTGTACATTTACTTTTAACGCTATAGCCGAAGTAAGGTTTACACTATCACATATTCAAGAAAAATGTTCCGAACAATAGATAAAAGCAATGAAAAATTGTATGCTATGATTGCTATTCTCTTTTTTTAGTCGTTGTGAACTTTTTTAAATATCTCATTAGGAAAAATAATATAAAAGAGTCCAAATTTTTATATTTATTACAAAACCAATTAAAATGACTTATGAACTGTGGAGAATTGAGAACCTCTCAATCTGCAATTTCATGAAATTTTGCTGTTTTGAATGCTTCCATGGATTTATTTCTACCAGTTATGTATACATCACAACAGCAGGTGTCAAGTGCTGTGTGTCAGCCGTAAAAGTTGCCCCGTACTTCACGTCAGTGTTGTTATATTTTTTTGGTCCTTCTGGATCATTTAGTCTAGTACTTTAAATGTTGAGAATTGAGTAGCGCTCAAGTCGGTGCTAGGGGCGTGAGGAATGCTGCACTTTTCCATTACCCCTCATGTACGGACTCAATCAAACCAAGTCTGCAATTTTCATGTAATTTTGCTGTTTTTACTGCTTTCGAATGATCACTTTTTTCCAGATATTTATAATATTAACCCAACAATTTGATAATCAAAATGGACGTAATTAAAAAGGAACTATATAATATATACTATATAATTGAACGAATGTTAATTTTTCATTCATCATTTTCTGGAACCAAAACGCTGTTTTGACGACCGGCACCAGTTAAGTAAAGTAATCATGCTATATATGGACTTGTACTGAAATCATTATTATTTAAGGTGTATTTGGAACGTGTTTATGTAAATTTGGAAATTATTATGCTATATTTGGAAATCATTGAAATATATTTGGACTAGTTGAGGTAAATTTGGAACTTATTATGGTACAATTGGAGATAACTTAGGAAACTATTATGTCATATTTGTAATTTATTATGTTATATACATGTTTTGAAAAATTAAATACTCACTATAAAAAATTTAAGAAAATAATATTCATAAATTGTCGTAGGTGCAACATTTGTTACTGAATATAAGACAACATGGAATAAAGCAATAAACAATTGCACAATTGAAATGCCTAAAATCAAATTCCAAGGAAGAGACGAGGAATTACCAGTTGATTATCCTTTATTGGACAACGATGTGTGGGTTGGATATTATCTAGCGGCTGCATATTTCCATTATATTGGTCAGTAAAATATCCAATTCATCAAATTTTGAATGGTAGACATGTCCTCTTTTTCTCATATAAAGTCAAACACTATTGTTGTTTAAAATAAAATATTAGATAATCTAAAATAATTTTACTTGATCATCATATAAATAAGAAAATAAGGAAATTTCTAACATTCATTGGATTTTATTAATTTTCATCATCAATTCAAATTTACAATCAAAAGTAAATTATATTGAATGGGGTTAGAGACATTGTATATATTACAGGTTGTTTGAGTGTGGAAGGTATGAGTGTAACAGCAAAATTTGACCATAACACTCCAGGCTTATGTTATTCAGCTTGCTTGAAGAAAGGCTTCATAGGCATTAGTGAGAAGGAAGTAATAAACAAGAAATAAATAAATATGAAATAGTATTAATTAAAATTAAATTTTAATATTTAATGTTTGTTATGCTTTGGTTATCATTATTATTATTATTATTATTATTATTATTATTATTATTATTATTATTATTATTATTATTATTATTAATTTGTTGTTGTTTGTGGTGCTGGTTGTGTCTTCTTATTTTCACTCTTTTTCGTCTTTGATATAACGAAACTTATTATTCGGCAGGAACCGAGGGCCGGATCCTTTCCAAACAGCAAACACGTCATCCTAAGCACGCAATTATTCTATTAACTGAGCCGAAATGTCGTGACCTATCTTACAACCTCATGCAAACATGTGTAAAGCTTAAAGAAGCACTAGTCTGATAAGCAAAACTAGATTTTCTATTTCAATGCTCTTTAGTACTTGATGACTGTACTGTAAATGTATAACGTTTTACTTGTTTTACCTTTTGTTGTTTTGATTTTGTATGAAATGGTTATGTTTAATCAATTTATTTTAAAGTTCATCATGTATACTTTCAGTGTTACTGTTTGAATGATACTGACCAGTTAGATGTTTGCAAGAAAAATTGTAACAAGGGGTGTAAGGATCACGATGACATTGCTTGTGGTGCAGGTGACTATATGTCACTTTACAGTATCGACTCAGCAGGTGAATTTTGTATTTACTATATTAGTGACAACAAAATAATTATGAAAAGCATTTATTGATTTGATTCAACGTTAAATTAGTGTCAATAAAAGATTGAACAGAATGGAAAAAATAGGAAATTGGTTTCAGAGTAGACCGATTTTTTTTCTTGCTTTTATTTACAATAATGTGTAAAACGAATGCTTTAAAATAAAATTCAAGTACTCTTCGATTTTTTCTTTCAATCTTAGTGTCCTCAAATTACCTTTATCATGCTTTCTATAGTCAAAAGTAGTCGTTCTGTAATGAATTATATTATTTCAGTGTACTGTGAAAGGACGTAATTATTCGCCACTTTCAAAATGGCGGTCAGTTACAGAATCTTAAGCAATAAAGTGTAGACAGTTTTTATAGGATTATAATTCATAAGAATCACTTTATGTAATTTAAGCTAGGTTTCAATCGTTGTTTGATTTGTAATCAAAAGTTTCTTTTATGTTTTCAGGAGTGTATACTAGCCATGATGTTGTAGTAATATAATATATTCTCTTTACTAAACCAGCTTTATGAACGGGGTCATTTTCATCCTGGAACAAAAAGTCATTATTTCCAAAATGCCTTGCAAAAAGCGACCATAAATTATTGTCTAACATATCTTAATATGTCTATGCATTTATATGTCAAAGTTCTGATACCCCCAAGGCATATATATCCCCATATCTGAGCGGGACAAACTAAGTGAGGCATAAATTTTTGTCGTCTCTCTTCAAAATACAAAAATTGGTATTTTCCCGATGACTACTTGACTTTCATCACTAAATATCCACTAACTTCAGCGTTCTTCCACAGTCAAAGGTTTCCTTTCATTACACCATTTTACATCTGTTTGACTACCCCGCCAATAACCATCCTCTTCTGAACAGCCCTTCTTTTATACACCAACTCGTGAATTTTTCTTTCAATAGTTTTATCACAAAAAGTTCGATCCATACATGTATTCATCATATCCGTAACATATCTCAAAGTCATTTACCTGTTGCATTTTACAATCCGAAAAAGTTTTTTATCTGTCACGTTCCGTGAAGAATATTTTCCTACCACTCCCAATACGATTTTCAGCACTTCCATACTGTTGATATTTCTTTATAACACTTTTAATTGTTGATATAGGACTACCCAGTAATCTTTATAATTCTGACTGATTTTAATTCTCCTTATTACTATTTATCATCAATTCTCGTACATCCCTACTTAATTCTTTCGTCTTGGGGCCATTTTTAAAAACACCCATGAAATAGATATGTTAACAATGCAGACAAATTATTGAGTTGTATATTACGTCCCCAAAGACTGATGGAACTTTGGCCCGGTTTACATAAATATACTATAGGCTATCTATAGCTTACATTCTAAGAGTAGACATCTGTATGGTGCGAATAATTATGTCCTATTACCGTATGTCCATAATGTAATTTGTAATGAAAAATACTTTGATAAACACGATTCTTCAAAAAATCATTATAATTTTCATAATATCAGCTACATTATACAGCGGAGATGGGGAATGCCTTCTATATCATACAAAAAATGAAGGACCGGATTTCACATGGTCAGACTGCACGGATCCTCAAGTAGTTATATGTGCACTAAGTAAGTATAACGATTGACCATTGAAAGGTTATTTAAGCATTAGGAGAAAAATTAAGCAGCGGTATACAATTAACTAACAACCAAGAAAACTTCCATCAAACTGATATCCCTTATTTATATTGGTAGACACTTTGATTTTGTTAATTTTTACTGAACTTTAAAAAAAATGCATAATTATATAAAAATTGCAGACTCGGTATAATTGAGTTTGTACATAAGGGATAATGAAAAGTAAAACATCCCTTTCATCACTTAGCGCCGGCTCTGTTGGTAATCAATTTCAACACTTAGCATATTTGAATCAATTATCTCGAAGGACCAGAAAAAAGCCTTACGAAACTTATAAATTCTTTGTACTACTTACAAGCAAATGACAATTCATTGCTATAAATAGAAATAAGTCACATCATATTAACGTTTTAAAGTGTTTTCAAGAGATCCTTCTAACAATATGCTAATGATTAGATGTAAACACAACAATTTTATTTTATTTCGTTCATTATGCCCTTTATAAAGATAAAGTAATGATAAAGCTATAACTGTATATGTATGTTGTTCAAATGACTTATCTGCTTTGTACTATTTTAAATGTCTCCGGCCTAAATTAGGCATGCAATTCTGTTTTCAATAGACTTTGCCACGTTGTTTAAAAATATAATAAAATAAACATGATTTTTCATTCATTGGTGTAGTTTATAGATTTTCAGATATGTATTGACTCTCTATAGCTAGGGATAGTAAAAATGAAAGTCAATTTTGACTTCTTTTTATCATATGCCAGTACCTGATTAGAAATCTGTATATGGGTGACCAATCGAAAGCAACAATAAAAAATGTAAACTGCCGGCTTGGATTTTTTTGTGTCAGTCTGATAAACATAATAAGAAACGATGGTAAATGTAACATTTGTCACATCCCTTACATTAATGGAATAAACAAAAACGCCATAAAACGTAGAAAACAAACGGTAAATAGACAATCTTGCAGGCTTGATTTGATTATGCATGCACAGATAAATTTTGAGTAATCGTTTGACTTGTTTTAATTTCAAATGGTTTGCATATTTTCATTAGTTATAAAGGAAATAGAATCATTCAGTTAGTGTGATCTTCTAAAAAGTCGATTAGTCAAATGAGATTAGAGAACTTTAAACGAACATTTTGTTTTTCGTTATACTATTTCTGCAATGATTACGGTGCTAATGAGATCAAGTAATATTTAAATTTGGTCAATATATAATAACAAAACGCATGCAGATGTACGCAATATTCGCCTTGTTACAAAATGACTTGTGTTTCACCTGTATATGTATATGTATGTAACATCTTTGACGTCTTAATTATATATTTATTTTATTTTATGTTAGATGACAATGTTCAAAACGCACTTAACGATGAAGATGAAATTCAAGAAAAGGGCTGGAGGGAATCTATGAACATATGTTTCGAACGTAGTATGTTACCACCATCTATTGAGCAGCTGAAAAAATATAATTTGTCAACGTCATCATGGGCCGGAGTTATTAAAAGCGAGGTGATCTACAGTATTGAAGGTAAAATTATTTTGTTCACTTTCAGTTCTAAGATAGTTGTATAACATCGGTGAAATCGCACACACTGTGCATCATTATCTTAAGTCATAAGCTAGAATCTAAAATGTTTACAAAGACTTAGTTTAAAGTCGTTCATAACACAGGAACATGTTGCGTAATTACATACCAACAAGTGTTACTGTAACGAACGCAATATATACTCTGTAGGACTATGGTAGAAGAACCATTAAGAAACTACATACATCCATAAAAAACTTCAATAACCTTTTGGATACAAATTCACTATTTTCAGTCTATTATAATCTATATAAATATTCATATAATATTTTAATATTTTTGTATCAAGATTGATGTAGAAATTTGCATCTAATATTGAAAATGTAAGCAGCATTTTATGAAGAAAAGCATTCCTGCTGTCTTATAATCAGTTTTAATAAGTGTGATATCCGCCCTTTGATATTTGATCAAGCCTCCTACGGTCGCAGAAAAAGAAATTCACTATCGCATCTAATCGTGTCATCTTGAAATGCTTGAGATTTATTCCTTCGTTGTCTTGACAATTCACATATTGCTTTGAAAAATATCATAAAAATATAAAGATTGGATCATTATAGAATAACGAATTGTATGTCAATATATGCCTTTATGATGTAAAACACAATAAGAGGTATTCAAATGACTCTTTTATCAGATGCACCAATAACACACAGATCAAAACAGTTAGGATACCTTAAAAAGAAACGTGAGGGTGCAGTTCTGAAATTTGAAAGAGACGATGACACTGAGCAGAAACATATACTTTGTGAAACTGGTAAATCATTAAACATTATAAATGTAATCAAGTCATAAAAACATTCAATAAATTGATTTTAATGGATTCTTATCATATTAGATATGCTCAAACTTGGTAAAAGAAGATGCTGATAATTGCTGCACAGGCTTTTTTAAATATAAAGTAAACATGTTTTGACTCATACACTTAAAGTGGATAATTTATGTTATTTTTGAAACTTTACACACTAAAGGTGTTAACTTCACAATATATATTTATAGTGACATAAAAATACTGGCAGTTTTTTTAGAAAATAAGAACTTTACTTGACCTGTGTTACGGAAGGCGGCAGCCAATACAAACGTTATTCTCTATTTTATTTAAATAAGATATATCAAGCAAGAATTTCATAGATTACAATAATGTTTTGTAATCAAAATATTTTACACAAGGATGAGCATGGTATATCTATATAGCGACATATCGTTTGGAAATTGGGAAGCGAGCTTGTGTATAATAATATAATGTATATTGTACGGATAACAGGTCTGTAAATGTAGCTAGAGTAATTTGGATATCATTAAAAAACCTTGATTAGAATACTTTATTAAAATCTTCACTAAAGATTACAGGAATTAATATATTGATTTAGTCTGATATTAGTGTTTATATATGTATGTATATTAAATATATTTTTGAATAACTGAAAAGAAATTCAAATGAACGTCATCTCAATTTTGGTCATGTGTTTCTGAAAAAATCTCTTAGTTACGGTAATGTATTTACAAGTAATTCAGTTTTATATCTTTAATCAAAGGCTAAATTGTTTTGTATAAAAACCGCCGAAATGGGTCTATTTTTGTTTCACAGTCTTCGTAAGCATGATCTTTCGTTTTGCCTCATGTTAACAATATTCACAACAATAAAATGATTCCAATTTAAATCAGGCAGAGTGTAGTAAAGATATTTAATTTGTGTTAACATTTTAATTGTTTAGTTATATGTTTTCAATATAGAGATGATCTGACCGCTGGAAACAAAAGACATGTCGAGATTGTTAGAATTGTACTTCTATTAACAAATGTAAATATTCATAAGTGGGTATTACACAGGCAATAATACACACCTTTATTTCATTGATTGATTTGAATACAGCTATAAAAACAACCCCTAGTGGTTCAACAAGTGATAGGACAACAATGAATCATAGCAAAGATGCAAGTATAGTGACAACGAAAAGTTCAGGCAATACAAACTTAAGCTCAACAACGAGTTCTACACCTAAAGACTCAACAATTAGCAAGTCTAGAAAATGTATGATTTGTTTTCATAATCTAAATTTGTTATACATTATATATTATTCTACCTGAAATGTTTCAAACTTATGTTAAAAATTGACAACTGAAACTTTGTTCATTTATGCACTTATAGTATGCAGTCGTAGAGAAATGGAAACAACAACAACGATAATGATAAATGGTCATTTGACTATGTGGATTAATCAATTCATGTACATTTGTTCACTGATTGTATTTTATATTCCAATGTTATTACTATATGATGATTCTTGAAGACTAGCAAACCGATTAAAACCTGACTTAGCACCTGAAAACATACAAATATGGGTTAAATCATTATCTTACAATATGGTTTGATAATATTTGTACTTATGTTTGAAAGATAATACAAATGGTTTAATCAAAGACTAATTGACATTAATAGTCTGCATGTCCTGCTTAACGAATTGATTAACAGAATTTTGTTTATTAGTAAAACTGCTTGTCTGAAGTTTATGCCATTGTTCATTGTTTAACAGCTTCTGATGTCGGAGTCCCAGTTGGAATTTCGATTGCAGTCTTTCTTATTGTCGTTATTGCAGTAATAGCTGTCCTACTTTTAAAGAAAAGGTATGGCTTGACTCTCTTCATTTGTTTTTACTTTTGTATATGTGGACAAAAATATGTTGACTATTTTTATTCTTTGTATACAATGCGCTTAATCATGAAAGTTTATTACAGTATATTTCAATCAAAATGTCATTGTTGTAAAAGATAACATGCAATTGGATACATTTTTCGCAAAACCATACAATATGATTTATATGTTCTTAGCTCTGTTTAAATGCAACAAAATTAAAATCTAACTTTACAATTTCCAATGTACAATTGGACAGACATATGTAGAAAGTGTATATGACTGCACTCAAACCTCGTAACAAAATTCATTTACACACACTTTGCTTTTCAGAGCAATGTTACCGGTTACCTGTTGCTGGAAGTTTACGTCAGATAAAACAGAAAAGCGCACACTAGGGTTAGTGAACAACATAGCGTACGAAATGCCTGTTAATTCTCCTTATGATCAGATTGATGAAGATGCTCTGCAACAGAATAATGACACAGCATTTAATAGCTCAGAAGACAATCGAGACGATGCACATACTTATTTTGTTCTTGAAAAAGATGCAGAAGAACCTAAAACAGACAGTGGCATAACAGGTTCCAAAGCTTACCAAAATGAGAATAATGTTTATAACACATTGCGTTCAAATTTAGAGCCTGGACCTGACATTGGCGATACCTATGATACGGCTGAAAAGGCAGCTAAAAGAATGAAAGATCAAAATGTTGAAAAGTGTAGTACAAGTGGTGACATGGATGAAGATGCGTACAATCATATAAATGCTGAACTTATAAAAAAGGGCAAAACAGATAATGTGTATGGGGTACCAGGTGATATTGATAGTGATTATGGAGATGCTAAACATGTTCGTGAACAAGGCCAAAATGTAGAAGACACATACAATCACATTAATCCAGAACATTAACCAAATTTTTATTTCGCTTGATTGAATCTGATGGACTTCAAAGCAACATTTTCAATTTTGCCGTTTTGGGTGTTCTTTCGTGATTATGTTTTTCGTGTTTTTAGTGGTTTTTTTTCTTTCCTTTTTATTTCGTATGTTGCTGTTCATACAATTTGATATACTGTCAATTTTTGCCTTGCTATATGCAGTTATCCTAATAAAATGTATCTAAGATACAAATTCTGCTGAATCAAAGAATAAAACAACAGTTATGGCAGCAAAATATTTTAATAATAGGCTAAAAGTTTTCAGATGCATTTTAAGCTAAATCTTTATAGAACAGACTATGAGTAGACTTTCATTTTTTTTATTTTATATGCCTGTACACACACTTATTTTGATCGTGTGACTTTGATGGAATTTGGCCTATGAAGTTTATTATATTTATCCCTGAAAATTACTTTAGAAAGCATGCAATATTACATGTATTGATTACTTTGTATAACTGAGACAGTTTCTTTTAACTTTTAACGTGTAATTTTAATGTGGGACCAGTCACAATCGCCTGATTTTGGTAGAAATGGCTTTAAAACATGTCACAGGCAATAGAGACAGATCCAGTGTATTCTGAGACATTGTCCGTGCTTCCAATTTAATGCTTAATTAAAGAGATGTTTTAGTTAAGACGGCATTTTATCCAAATTTTTGAAAACAGAACTTTCAAAGTATGACTTATGGACAATATATTTATGTATAAGTTAATTTACATTTCTTAATTAAGAAATAACAACAACTGACGCATGCGCGTTACAACTGCTTCTTTATCTTAATCACTAGAATCTGTGTTATATGTTCCGTAATAAACAACGACACATTTATCCAGTATAGTCTTCTGGGTGTCCTGTTGATATTACTTGATTGTGTCTCGGGCTGCGTTCTTTAAATGTCGCCTTTCCTTGTTGAATATTTGTTTTTTTTAAAAGGCTCAATGTATTTTATTTCTATTAGACACACAACAGGAACAAGGAGATATATATATTATAGATGTATCAAACCTGGTTTAAACTCATTGTGGATATGCTAACAAGAGATGTCCCTATGACCACTGTCCATTCAGTACATGCATTCATAAATCAAGAAATTATAACTGTCTTAAACAAAAACATCTAAGTCCATATAATTTACACAAGCGTAACTAATGTGCATGCAAAATTCAAAAATAAATGAGAAATGGGTCCTGTCGGTAACATGCATAATCCACTATCTGGTATATGCATATGAATAGTATTGCATAAATTCCTGGAAAACAAGATCATACACAAAATCGAAAATTGAAACACCTTTGAAAACATCAATACATGAGCTATGGGTGGCATGTACCTATCAATTCATAACTTTGAACTTCAGTTCCATGCTGTGAAAGAAACAGCTGCGTATTGAAAAACAGATTACAGCATTCTTAATTTTAAAAAGGGTAAAGAAGTGTCACTGTTTCATACTGTGCCAACAATTGTTCATAATTTTTTGTCCTATATTGAGAGCAAAACAAATCGCTTACCATTTTTGAAATCAAGATCTTTGTCAAAATCCTCAAAGTCATAACGATTAGTCTGCTTACTTTCTTGCTGCTGTTTACACTTTAATCGAACTGGAAGTGGAAGAGCATGGAAATAAAAAAATGTGTAGTGTAAAAAATGTAATTACTGACATTGAACAAAATGCTGTTTTATGGATTTCTCAGTCTAGGTTCTCTATTGATATGTGAAATTTATCTGAATTCATTTTAATGTTATGCATAAGATAGATAACCAAATATGTACCGACACATCATGCCTTTATTACACTGACTGATAAGAAAATGCTTGGCCTCAAAACCTCATTTACAAGCATGCACAAGCTAATAATTTATTCACTGATAATATTTAGGTCTCAATTTAGATATCAGTTTTCACATACTGCCATTGGAGGGGACGAAATGGTAGCATCAGTTTCTGTGAAGTTGCTATTGTTATCAAGAAGACCGAAGCTGTCTTGCATTATGATAGCTTGACACTGCTTAAATTAATTAGAAATACAGACATTTTTATATATTGTCACATTTTTGGCACTTTATATGTTCAGATTTTTGTTGACGTGAAAAATTTTATGCAATACATCGTCGTTTGCAACAATGTCAAACATTACTGTGATATTTCTCATAATTTTAAGTTTCCGTGAGAACCTCAGTAAAAAACTAGTTTATTGTGTATTTTATCTTCTTTATCGGCGTGTGTTATAAAATTCCTGAAGATTTTTTAGCATAATTATGTCTCTTTTGATATCAACTTTTAAATACCTACCGCTACTGTAAATAGCATGACTTGAAATGACAGCAACCCATGATTTCCCACGGTTTGTGTTTCTTTCAAGATGCTTTAGGACTTTGACGACGATGTAAACATTTGCACTGAAGCAGATTTTTTTTACAATCTGGACCTACTTTTTATCCTCTACAAAAATGTATGAGATCTATTGTAAAAAGAACCAAATGTATTTCAGTTATACAAACTTGATTTATTTTACATCAAATACACTCATTCATTTAACTTACGTTGTCATTCGTGACAATTAAGATTGTGTGCCTTGTTAATTCCTAAACGTTCAAAATCCACGATATAAAATGTCTCACATTCGACTTAATGACACTAATGAAATTTGTCATGTTGCATGCAGGGTAACACAAACCCGTAGTGTCATAATCAAAATCCGCTGTTATTGCGAAACATTGCGAAACATTGTGAATCTGATCGCCACATACAGTCAGTTGTCAATGCACATTTTCTAGGTACCACCTTTTCATATTTAAGTTTAAAGACAATATCTAAGACAGTTCGGGCATGTAGGAAGGACGAGTGAAGAAGGTGAACGGAATGAAGCTATTTTCATTACCTGTAAATCCAAGTCTACGATTTAAACATTTTATTTACTTTTCGAAGCACTTAAACTTTCAGCCCTTCCAGTATTTTTACCGTTGAATATCTCTCTTTATTTTATTACATAATATACCGTAATTTCTAACACGCTTTAAGGTATTCCCTTCATTAAACAGGTAGGACTGTCGGGTCACGACATATAAAGGGCATACAAAAGGAAAACTTACATATTTTATGAAGTTACATGTTACGTCAATAAACAAATGCCGTCATAAAAATTAATCATCCGCTCAATGTTGATCAAGTCTTTTTCTTTAAGCATGTAAGAATTAAGTTTGATGCGTTGTAGTATAAGAATGCATGGATTATGGTTCAAATGCTTTCTATTGAATCATTCAGGCATACCGACCTTCGTTAAAGTATTACTGATCATTTGAACTAGAACCGTGCATAATTGTACAAAAAATGTAATCAAAATTTATATATATTTCCTAAACAAACATGCCATCAAATTTATCAGTGATAAAACAGCTTGATTGAAATATACATGTCCGAATCGAAGGAGAGTTACAATTTACTGTTTTACTGAACTGCACTTCGATTTAAAAACAAAAAAAACAAAATGTGTTTGTATGAACAATTAAATTGACTAAGAGAATAAGGAAAAGCAGTGCCAATATTAATACTAACAGACTAAACTTGTTTTTTGCCGCGTTGGTGTAGTCGGGGAATAATATAGTAAGTTCATACTTTTGGGCATTGTGTCTAGCGTTCGAGACTTTAGCTGATAAATGTTTAATTTTCATTTTAAAAGTAACCTTTTATATATAACCTGTAAGTTGATGATAATATTTTATTCAACAGAACTAAATTCAACATCTTCCACTGATAGGAAAACTAAGCTCACCCTCTTAGCATGTAGGTCAAAAGATAACGAATAATTAATTTGAAGCACTGGACAATGTGCAATTACAGTGTATGAAAATATGATATGAATATAACAATTAAATGATTCTTCCCCTTTCGATTATGAATTGATATCAATGTTCATAAACATGTTTGTGTTTATTTTGCACTGTCCGTTCATGTTTACAGTTTCACTAAGAGTATGTTTACACACTTAATATTATACATGAAACATTTAAGCGTGTCCTGTTATGTTACTTATAACTTCCGGAAACAATATTGTTATATTATCGTTAACAGGAAAATACAATTAGACGTAAATTACTATTATCAAAATGGAGTTTAGTTTCAGACAATATTTAATTCTTGTATCGATATTATTTTCAGCGGGTAGAGTATGATTTTTATGATTAAATATTTTGTATAATGGTTACTTAGATATTTTTTCTGCTAAAATTTCGTATTGATTTTAAAAGCAGTGAAAAATATTTGCATTTAATTGAATTAAAAAATATATCATCACCAAAACTGCAAGAGCAGTCGTTAATTTTATCGAAATAAAGATTTCCATGCGGTTTTCTGGATAAACTACATCCAACTTAACCTCCGATCCCCTTTCAAAATTCCATTTCATTTTGTTCAGTTCCGAAAGTTTAGCCACAAAATGAAACTCAATCAATCTTAATATCGCCATCACTTTAATTGTACTCGCAAGTCACAATAATTATACTCGTACATATCTTTTAATTTTGAACAACAGCTTTTCTTAATTAATTTTATTAACACCATGTAGCGACACTAGAAAATTGTTAGGATTTAATACCGCTGTTTTTTTTATTTTTATTTTAATTTCAATAAATTCAGAACAAAAAAGAGTTTGCAAACTAAGAAAAGCTTAAGACTATGCTTGGTGAACAATGTAAATGGAATTCATGGAATTTGAGATCCTTTGATAGAAATGGTACCAAAACAAATAATTTAAAAAATGAAGACTCGATAAATTTGAGTCTGTCCCCTGGCACCGGCTTAAATGGTTTATTAGCCTCAACACTCACAGTATTAGAATCAATGCTCTTGAAAAGAGCCAACCAAAAAATCATTAGCTTTTCAAAAATTAGGCTGGGATTTTTGCTACCATTTAACTTTGTTTAGTTGTAATACCTTTTAATAGCTTTTGTCCTGACTTGTAATTTCACTGTGTACAATGAAAGTCAATATTTGTGAAGAATTTCAAAAGGAAGAAGAATACGATTATTTCTTAACACATATATAGTTACACATTTAAATCAGGAAGATTGTGTGGAATTTTGTTTAACATCATTCATTTCTCTGAAATAAGGGGTTGATTTAACCAAAAATATTAGTGTTATGACATTATTATTAGAGTATATGGAATTCATAAGTAATAAATGTTCATAAATTATCGTAGGTGCTACATTCATAACAGAAAATAAGACAACATGGAATTCAGCCATTGAGGATTGTAAAATGGAAACTCCTACTATCATGTTTCAAGGCGAAACAAATGACTTCCCAGTAAAGTACAATTTGGCGGGTAAAGATGATGTGGATAATGTGTGGGTAGGATACTTCTTAGCTGCTACGGCATTCCATTACATAGGTAAGTATCCTATTAAAGTGCTCATATTCAATTTGAATTAACATCTTGTCCGAGTACAATATCAAACATGTCCGTTCATTTAATATCATCCTATTTTAATCCTAGAATGTATATCTTTGTTATTTGACTTTCCAAATTTTTTTACTTTAATGTTTTTTCTTTTTTGAAATGCAATGAATATTTACAAATATCGTTGTAGACTCACAATTACTACCACTTAGCTAAATATTGCATATCCGTATTGAATTTTGATATTACCTCACAGCAACACGTGATATTTTGTATGTTTATATGTTTAAACTACAATGATGAGAGGCTATATATTACTCTCCCTGTCATTTCGGGTACCCGTCAAATTGTTAGCACTTCTTCTCAGTGTAAATTTTAAAAATAATAACAATTATGCACAGTACAACATTTTGATATTTGTCAGGTATGTTTGTTTCTAAATTCAAAATATCATCATTTTCATGTTTAAATGTTGAATTCTGCATAAGCCGGTGCTAGGAGTGTTGATGGTAATTTGCACTTTCCTGTACCCTCCAGGAACCGGCCCAATCAAACCAAGTCTGCAACAGTTCCAATTTTTCGTTTTTCGTTTAATTATGAATATTCATAATCAGAGTCGGTGTTGTCTAGTAAACATAGTCTTATAGTTATACATTATTTACTGACTCAATTAAACATTTTATCTCAGGTTGTATGGAAGCGAAAAATATGAATTTCAAGGCGGAATTTAAGCACAACACTCCAGGCTTGTGTTACACAGCATGCATGAAGAAAGGTTTGATAGGCATAAGTAACAAGAAAGTAAGAATATCTGACGCACTGTTAATGATAACTATAACATGCAAAAAGTCTTAACGTACACATTTAATAGTTGGCCTCTTCATTTCATCTCTAATCATTTTTTATAATTTCCTATGAAATGTATTGTCACTTTCCTCACTTTTGATATTAATGAATCTTTTATTGTCAAGGTTGTTTTGTTATTTTCAAAAAGATAAGCTTATTTTCTCAGATTAACACGATTAATTTCAGTGCTACTGTTTGGGTAATGCTGAACTATCAGACATTTACACCCGGGAATGTACCAAAGGTTGTGAGGGTCACAATGACATTGCCTGTGGTGGAGGTGGATATATGTCACTTTACAGTATTGAATCGGCTGGTAAGGGTGAGCTATTGCACCTTTTCGTAAGACACAATATCTTTAACGGGAGGGAAATATTCACCTAATATTTTCTCCTTCCTTGTTTGTTAATCATATAATTGAATTGTAAACTTAAGATATAAAAGCGATTCGTTTGAAAACGGAAGTTAATGAATGCAAATTATTCAGATAAGAGTTATTCATAATGCTATAAAATTAAGTACCAATAAACACACGTTAGATAAATAAGTACGAGTATGCAAACATTTGTTTTTAACAATGTAGATAAGTTTTAAGATATAATATGTTAATTGTAAAATCTGAAAAGGGCGTGATCCCTCAAAAGTAGTAGTAACAACAAATTATATGAAAAATGCAGACTCGATTTGGTGGATTAGCCCTAAAAGTGACATATCTTAGAAGGCTTTTCCCAATAGACGGGTCAAATTTTCAGAGTTTTTACTGTGTGCCAAAAAGTTCGCTTTGATCTCAAGAAATAATTATAACATTATCAAAATATTTATATACTGTGGTTCTAGGGTAGGGGCTTCCTATTTATCCATCGGCCCAACATATACATACATGATGAGTTGAACGCCACCTTTCCTTGTTGATCTTGTTTATCATATTTCGTGCGTTGTTTCACAAGTGTGCCGAATTCGTATGTGTGCAAATTGCCCTTTCAGCAATGCTTCAAATATTATCAAAGTGGTTTTATATACATATGTATACAATAACATTTTCAGCTCAACCCTACATTGGAGACGGGGAGTGCCTTCTATATGACATGGACGATGATATAAATGATCAATGGAAATGGTCAAACTGCAGAGATAATTTAAGAGTCTTATGTGCATCAAGTAAAAACAATTTTTGCTCATTTACGCATTTCTACTGAAAAACCATATCATCCGTGTGCCACACTTTTTAAATAAATTTTACATAAATTTAGGCCACATATAATGATGTCTTAGTGCCCCTAATACACCCAAACATATGTTAAAGCTACATGCCTTCAGATGAGTCAAAATATTTCAATGAAGTTTATTATGAAAAAAATGTGCTAAGATTTAAGAAAAGTAAAACAGAATACAATATTTGAGTTATACGTTACATGTGATGTGCGGTTTTGATTGATTACACCGAACTGAAAGTATAAAATAGAAAAGTATGAATCTCCAAAAAGCCCAAAACGACAAAATTGAAAATGCTGCAGGATCGGGTTGATTGCGCCTGTTTATGGACGGTACTGTCGAGTGAATAATACCGTCAACGACCCCTAGCACCGGCTTAAACAAAATTCAAAATTTAAACATGAAATGGTAAACTCTTGAATTTAGAAACATCCGTACATTCAGATGTATTCATACGGCTATTATCATGGAGCCTTCTATGAGACGCTACCGTACCATTCCATGAAAAGCGGCGTATGGTCCCAAGTAATAGAAAGCCTGTGCACTAAACAAGAAAACAATGGGCGGAACTAAACAAAATGGAATTTTGAAAGACAATCATAGGTTATGAAGCCTGCATATCACAGATAAACGTCAAAAAACAAAAGAGCAGGCAACATATCATAAGGGTGATTCAACATTTTTCAAGTAGGAATATTGGAACCACCAAACTAAAAAATGCCAAAAAGTTAAAACTTAAAATACCACAAACACAACAATAATGTCGTGCTGAACGATCTTTAAGGATCGGAAACATAAGCGATTTAATTATAAAGCAAATTGTTCCAAACAAATATTATTATTATTGATAATCAATAGAAGATTATTTTGCTACCTATTTTATTAGTATTTGACTGTTTGAGTAATATTAATTGTGTTTTACCAACCGACTTGAACAAATGTTATTGTACTTTTCTTAGAACAAAGCGATGTATCATCTCCACATAATTTTTATCTAATGTAATGCACTTAAATGTACAGTGAACCATTACATCTTATACTGAAGATAATTATGATATAATTTTTTCAATTCAATTTATTTTTAAACAGAAATTCTTCGGTGTTTGTTTCCATATTGCCATAAATTGTTGTTTACCAGCATTAAATAATGCACATTTCTATTTCTTTTGGATTACAAGAAAATGGAAACGTTATCTCAAATGACGAAAATGGTTAAGAACAATCAGCCAAGTGGAGGGATGCTATGAACATTTGTTTAAATAATCTGAGACATCCAACTTCTATTGCACTGATAGAAAATCAAACGTTATCATTATCCTCGAGGTCATGGGTTGGAGTTATTCGAAGTGATGTCATATACAGCATTAACGGTAAGTAAATGTTATCTACAAGTCATACAGTCAATGAAGCAATGTGTTTTAAAGTAAAAAAGATTCTTCCATACTAGTATACAAAGTTGGAACTTAAAATGGAAAAAGTTAACTTCTAACGTCACTCATTAAATATTAAAACGCGTTATAAAAATAAATAACTTATTAGCATCCGAATTATTACTGGTTTAATAATGTTTTTGTGAGAAGCAAGTACTTTTGAGCAATAACGCACTGAAATATGTAAACATATTCGATCAACAAAACATCTTACCTGCAATTACTTAAGGATTTTCCAATTTTATGATGTGTTTCTGGTATTATAGAAGTTAGAAGTAGATTATGTTAATTCTGACTTCAGAAACTAACAAACATAAATAAAATAGAGAAAAACAATCCTTTAAGAACGCCAAAAAATATTGAATTGAGCCTGGTCATGGACGGTACTGGAAAGTGCAAGGAACCGTTCAGGTCCCTAGCACCGGTGTACGCAGAATTCAACATTTAAACATGAAAGTATGCAACATTTTGTGTTATTATATGATCTAAAAATAGCTGCAATCTCATTGGTCTAAACTGTAGTCAACAGAACTTTTTATAAAATCATATTCACTGGGTGTAGTATCATATTAACTGGCTGAATTGGATTTTCCAAGTCTAAAAATAGATTGAGACTCATATTCAATGACCATACACCGTAGACTGTTAATTACGTGTGTTAATTAAAAAATAATTGTTGCGTTTTGTTCTTTATGGCATATTTCTCGATTGAAATACCATTACTTTACTGTTATACTTAAAGGCTAAACCGCATTGATGAGTATAAACTTGAATTACTTTTGTATGCGCAGCGTTCGCGTAGTCGTTGTACGCCTAACACGTGCGTCTTTTTTCCCGCGCTTCAACGAGGCAAAATTTATGCATGTATATAAGGATGAACTTTTTCGTGATTTTTTTTAATTCTTAGCCTATTCATATAATAAAACAATTATTGACTAGTGAGCCATTGAATATGATGTGATATTCACCGGCAGATGACATATTGACCGAGGCGACATGGACATAACAATATATAATAATATGTTTCATTTACAATGTATAAATGAGTAATCATGAAATACCTGGTCGGGGATAAAGACCAATATGTGTTAATTTTCAAGCATTTTGCCTTATGGCTCAAATGCATGTATTTTTGTTGTTGTTGTTTTTATGTTTATTGTTTCAGATATGATTATGTAATAATTAAAATGGTAATAGTCTATGGAAGCGCCATCTCCAATTTTGTTGGTTTATAAATACTAGTAGTCTATATGATGAAGCAATCGTTAGAAAATTTAAAAAAGAAATTTTCACTTGCAATTCAAATGTAGTGACTACAAAGACGAAGAAACAGTTCGGCTATCTGTACAAAACGAAAAATGATGACATAGTCCTAAAATTTGAAGACAGTGGCACTGCAGAGAAAAAGATTCTTTGTGAAACTGGTAAAATCGTAAACCTTTTACAAGTTATTTATGTACTTGAACAAAAAACTAACAGAACAGACGATGTCATTAAGAGAAGTAGTTATTTATGATTTTTTTTTTTCATTTGTTATTAATAATTTTTACTGAATTGAAATGTTTAAAATATCAGAACATAATAGCATAAGCAATGAATATGTTAGCAATATACGGCGGTTTGCAATACTTAGGACCAAACGCGTTAACTGGAGAAGCCGAAATATTACAATGATGTTGCTTAGTAAAGATTTCTCCTTTGCATATATAAAGAACCAAATTATTTGATTGTGCCAAATGTATAGATTATCTTACCGTTACGATATTCCCAACTGAATACTTAAATGGAAAAAATTATAATTTATTTATTATTGGAATCATTTATTACATGACCTTTAAAGTGTATAAAGCTAAATATATGTTGCTACATCTTTCTCCCTTTTTTTAAAGAAAAAAAAGAATTCAAAAATGCTTGTATGAAATAAATATGAGCAGAAAAGTGTCTTAAAAGCGAATGGTACAAGCAAAAATCATTGCTGAACGGACTAAATCCTACTTAAAATAGCAGAATAATGTTTTGTTGCTGGACATTTTATGTTGTTTACGTTCAATAATCATGTGTGTTCAATAATTGAGACATTCTATGTCTATGCTACAACTCTCAATCGACTATAAATTATGGATAAATTTTATTAGAACATATTTTGTAGATATAGCTTTATACCCTTTAAAGATACTCAATACGATTGTTAAATGTGTATTTTGATGTTATTTTAATTAATTATTTTCATTATTGCATCAGAAATGAATGACAATAAAAAAGAAAACATGCACACTGGTCATTTCATTTTTTAACATTTAAGAAAGAAAACCAACCACAAGTGGACCAACAAGTGGAAGTACAACGGAGTCAGGTAAACACACCTTTACTGCTTAGGCAATAGTAAATTAAATTCATCACCAAATTCTATGCCAACAAATTCAACTATAAGCGTGCCAAAGAGATGTATGGGTTGTTAATATAATCGATATTGATAACATATTGATGTTCTTTCTCTGTCTAAGAACAAATTTCAAATATGTTGGCAAATCGACTATGAACATTTTCTTTGGGCATAGACATTCAACATTAAGTTAAATGCAATTCATATAATTATACAATTTTTCTCACAAGTATGTCTTCAAATCCCACGAATAGGATTGCTCTCAAATGAGAAAACCATCATATTAGCTTACAATTTGTTCATGTTTCAACCTAGATGGTTGTCCAAGTTTGAAAAAAATACAAACTATGGACATTATAGTTTCAAAACAATTTGTTCTTTATCCAGTTGCCTTTTACCATCTTTTCATCTCTAGCGTTTTGGCAATTACGAGTAGTACAGTTGTATTTACTTAATATTTTGTATGTACGTCAAGATACTGCTTTGTTTACATTACTTTATAACACTTTGTTTCACTTTTATTCCATCTTTTTATAGTTACAAGCATCCTACATGCTGTAAACAATTATCTAGACATTAAAATTCACGTTTGCCTTTCCAAAAGCAGTTAAAAATATTTAGTTTAATTAAGAACTGTCGTTGTATGATATATACTGATTTCATTTCGTGCTAAACAAATTATATGCTTAATACTGTTTAAAAGTATTAAACTTGTCTGAATATAATGATTGATTTCATTTTTACAGCTTCTGATATCGGAGTCCCAGTTGGCATTTCGATTGCAATCTTTCTGATTGTCGTTATTGCCGTAATAGCTGTTCTACTTCTAAAGAGACGGTATAGTTTGAATTTTCATTCTTATTTTTCCTTTTTGTATATTATGTCAAAAGTATGTAAAGATATAGAGGATATTTGTTTGTTTGTGTGTAAGATGAAATTTTATTTCATCGAGTGAGCTTTAAAAACAGTATTCTCACGAGTGGCGTAGCCACGAGTGAGAATACTGTTTTTAAAGTTCACGAGATGAAATAAAATTACATCTTACACAACAAACAGACAAATTTTCTTTTTATTTTATGCTTAAAAACAAGTAAAAACGAAATTTCCATAATTTTAACGTTAATATTAAAATCTGTTTCCCCCATTGAGAGCCCCATTTAGACGGAATTTCTCATTTAAAACAAGAAGTCTTGAGCTAAAAAATAAGTCCGCCAATCAAGGTTAAATGACGGTGATATTTATTCATTTTATTAAAAAAATATGAATGATCGCTTGTTTAATCATAAAATCAAACAATTCTTGCAGGAGAAAATTCCAACCATCCATCCATATTTCTGTTACTTACTGCGAATTTATATTAGACCTGGCTTTCTAAAATGTAAACGGCAGCCATTTTTTAAAGTTGTGTATTTCATGGGAGGAAAATAATTGTGTAAGATTCAGAAGGATATAATTTGGATTTGTTAGTCATACACTTTTTTAAAAGAAAGAAAACCTATTTGAGGATTGTAACAGACAAAAAATAAGTGTTGACAGAAGTGAAAACATTCAGAAAAGGAGCTAGGAAAATGGAAAAATTGGAAGCTTGCTGAAGGAACGCTGGGTTGTTTTAACTTATTTTACGAGTGATGGCTGTCAATGCTTTTCAATTTTTCATAAAGCATACGGCAGTTATTGCTCGTAGGATACTTTAATATGCCCAAATGTCATCAAGAGCCCGTTTTGCATGGGGAAGGAATGTATTTTTCAGACTGTAAAAACGAAACAAAAAAAATTTAGAGACAAAATTTGGTGATTGGAATTTGAAAGAATAGAAGTAAGTTTTCTCTCTGTGTTACTTTTGACATTTAAGTTATTTATCTATTTCAGCTTTGCTATTTATTTTAATAGCCTGGCATTGTCAGAATTGTCGGTAAAAATAAAATTGAGGTACCACATGGGGAAAATCTTAAAAAAGTAGTTTCGTCATTGAAAAAAGTGAAATTATATTTTGATAATTTTCACTGTGAAATTATCAAATATAATTTTCACGGATAAATCAGTAATCCACTGAAAAGCATAAAATAAAAGCTACTACTTACAATGCTAACCGCAAACAGAATATTTTTTTCGTTCTCAATAGTTTTTTTTTTCAGTTAATTTTTACCCGTAATGATTTTCCCCATCAATTTTCATCTTAGATTTTAACAAAATTACTTACATTATTTGATTTTAATCAAAATAGAAATTGACTTGGTTAGGAATTTATAATAAAAACAGATTTAGTAGATACTGTACACTAATTCCACGGAAAATTTTGCAACTGTTAATTAGTCGAAAGTTCGTTTCAATCGTCTTATGTCCGGTTCGAGAAGAGAATATAATGACTAGAACAGCTTAGAAGAAAAACCCAGATGAATGCAAAAAGTATCAAAAATGCGATCTGTCATATTTAATTTCATACATTTATTGAAAAGCTGTTAGAAACATCTAGAAAATATCATTATATATTTATTCTGACTTTTGCCAACACTTCTTGCCATCGCGCAATCGAGCATACCTCTACCTAT